CTAGACCCCCTGAGCTTCTCCCACCAGCCCCAGAAGCCCAGCGGGCTCACCTCCCCTGACCTTCCAGAAGCCTGCCCCGCTTGGACAAAGCAGCCATTCCCAGCACAGTGGCCCAGCAAACAAGTCTTGACCTGAGGCCAAGGCTCTTGAGGGCTGAACAGTATCCCTGCACTCACTCCCTCCTGAAACACTCTGTCCCTTCGTCATTCAAAGCATCATTTCTGGGAAGGCCAGGGGCTTGTTTTCCAGAGTGGCCTTGTCAGCTACCAGGCTGGCGGGCAAGTTCTGACCTCCCTGCCAAGCCTAACTTGAGATGGTAAACATCTTGGGTCTGAGGATGGGAAACAGGAGCCCTGATCTCCCTCATTCTGAAGACCCAGGCCCCACTCTCCAGCCCCCTTCCTCTTAGGTTGTCCTTCTCTCTGCCTTCCTCTGAGCTTCACATCCCTCAACTCCCTTCCATAGTCTTCCCAAGACTGGGAGCAGTTCACACCAGAGCTGGGAGGGGCCCAGACTGTCCCCCCAGGACCTCTTCCACCTTGAATGCAAAGCCACCCCAGACACACCTTGCAACAGAGATGTTAATGCCAAGGGTCTCACTTTCTTCACTTCAGATTCAGAGAGGGACAGGCCTTTGTCAGAATCACAGCTAGTGGTGGACCTAGACAGTGTTGTCCTCCCAGCCCACTCTCTGCCTGACACTCCCAGAACACTCCCAGGGAGCCCTGAAATACCCTGAAGGAGATAGGAAAGGGCTAATCCTGGATGAGTTGTGAAGAGGGAAGAAGGGAGCAGGGAGAAAGGGCTGGGGCCCAGGGTGGAGGGTGCAGGCTGCCTATGTTTGCAGGGAGGGCTGAGTGGTAGGATTGCTACTCTCTGGGTAGGGAAGGGTTAAGTCCTCCTGGGCCTTCTGCTGTGGCCACCCTCCCTTCCTGAACTTTCTCCTCCCCAGCCCTGGAGCCACACCCAGAGCCTCTGGTTCCCTGAGCCATTTTCTTGGCCTGCCTGAGCCCCTTTCATGGCCTGCCTGAGCCCCTTGCAGCTCCAGAAGGTAGGTAGGGGTCTACTGGGCTGGGTACTGGGAGGGTCCTACAAAAGTGTGTGGGGGTGGTCCAGATCTCCAGTAGCCCCTTGGGAACTCAACACTCCCTGTCATTTCACAGAAAGGGACACTGAAGTCCACAGTGGGGTTTCAGTTCCCAACCACAAGACCTAACTTCTGTACACACAGCCCTGGGGTATCCAGATTACAGGACTGGGATAAGGTGGGGCTGTGTGCACTGTGCGTGGGCATGTTTTTTTTTTTTTGGTGGGGGGGGGGGGGGGGCTCAAAACCGATAAAGCATTCTGATCAGCCAGTTCAGCTGGCCTGGCTGCCTGTGGTGTGGAGGCAAGGCCCAGAGGGATGGGGACTGGCCAGCAAGTAGCCAGGCAGGAGGTTGTCCTCCCAGTACTCAGTCCAAATTCAAAAGGCTAACTTGCGGGAATTAGAGCACACAGACTTTTAAGATAATCATCCAGGAATTGCAGATGGAGGCTGTTCGTATTGGTATCCAGCCCTAGAGGCTTTGTTTCAAACTCTGTCCTGGGACAGAGCTGTACTCAATGGTAAGAGCTAGCTGAGCATATGTGAGGCCCTGGCTTCCATCCCCAGCACTGCAAGTAAAAAAAAGTCCATCCCAGCCTGGGATGGAGCTCTAGCCTGTTTTCTAAATAGGCCCACACGGGGCTGGAGATACAGCTCAGTTTGTGGAGTGTGCTTTCCTTGTATGCACAAGGCCCTGGGTTCAATCCCCAGCACCACAAAAAGAAAAAGAAAAAGAAAAAAAAGCCCTTAGCCCCATTTAGTACTTTCAGGGTCAGAGAGAAAACCATTGGTCCAAGTTGTCATGGCCACCAAATACTCATCCCTGGCCAACTTTTCCCTTTTCTTAGAGTATATCAGGAACATATTCCCAAGTCACTAACTATTTTTCTACATGATTTTTATGGTTCTGGGGATTGAAGGGAGGACCTCATGCGGGCCAGTCAAGCATCCAGGTGACCACAGGGCTTCTTTATCAGCTGTTTTGTGTTCCAGACAGGGAAACCATACTTTGTTAAACTAATCCCTTGATACTAAGGTAATCATTAACTATTCCAATGTAAGTTTTCATCAGGCAAGATTTAGTGAATACCTACACACATATGTATTTGCTCCTCTATTCCCTAATATTTTTTGCCAGGGGTAGGTACTGAGAATTGAACCCAGGAGCACTCTACCACTGAGCCACATCTCTGGCCCCTTGTATTTTTTGAGACAAGATCTTTCCACATTACTTAGGGCCTTGCTACATCCCCAGCCCCCATCTCATTTCCATTACATACTTCTGCTCTTAGCTCTCAAAGCCTGCCCCCTCTTTCCCTGCACTCAGCATTTATGATCCTGTGCTTCCCCATGGGATGGGGAAATTGAAATTCTCCTGCCTTAACCTCCCAAATCACATGGGTTATAGACATGTACCACTGCACCAGGCTCCATTGCCTGATCTCATGAGGAGTGGTTACTGGATCAAGCATGTGCACAGTTTGCCATGGATGTCCCATTTCCCAGGGAGGCAATTTCCAGCCTAACACCAATTTCTAAAGTACAGACTTTCCCAGAGACAGAAGGGCTTGTAGTGGGTGTCATGAATATTGCAGTACCTGGTATATGACAACCCACACTGGATATCCATCAGGGTTGGTGTGGGGGTGGGGGGCTGTCAGTAATTGGAAATTGACACTGTGGTGGGTTCCAAAGAAGACTTAGATGCCTGTTACAAAACCTCCTAAGAAGGACTCAAGGCGAGTCAGAGTAGGCTATTTGCCTTAACTTCCACCCACACTCAGGAGAAAGCCCGCTCCCAGTCTGGCCCGCCCCTGCCACCATCCTGTTCCCTTCCATTCTGCCCTCACTCTGTGCTGCATCCCTTCCTGATTCTGCCTGTCCTCATGTGCTCAGAGTCTTCGCACATCCTGCTTCCTCTATCTGGAGTGTTCTTTGTCATCTCTTCCCCTCCCAATATCCTTTAGGCCCCTTTAAATGCCATTCCCTCAGAGCTGCTGCCAAAGACTCCCATCTCATTTCTTTTCTTTTTTTGAGGTGCTGGGGATTGGACCCAGGGCCTTGTACATGCAAGCCAGACACTTTACCAACTGAGCTACATCCCCAGCCCCCCATCTCATTTCCATTACATACTTCTGCTCTTAGCTCTCAAAGCCTGCCCCCTCTTTCCCTGCACTCAGCATTTATGATCGTGTGCTTCCCCATGGGATGGTTGGTGTAATGTTGTTCTCCATTTTTTTATTTTTTTTAGCACCAGGGTTTGAACCCAGGGGTGCTTAACCACTGAGCCACATCCCAACCATTTTAATTTTTATTTACAGATAGGGTCTCACTAAGTTGCTTGGATTCTCACTAAATTGCTGAGGCTGACCTTGGACTTGAGATCCTCTTGCATCAGCCTCTCAACTCTCTGCGATTACAGGAATGCACCACCATGCCTGGCCTCCTTTACTAGACTATAAACTCTGTGAGGGCAGGTACCTCAGCTGGCTTGCTCATAACAGCTCCTAAAGCTGTGTCTCCTACACAGTAGATGTTGAATGGACATTGGCAGGATACACGGATGCAGCTGTATGTGGCTCAGCCCACTGGAGGGCAAGTACAGGACAACCTCCCCTTCCCCTTCCGTTCCTAACATCCAAGTAGCCAATTGTTCTTCACAGGGCACCAGACACCACGGCAGGGGCAGGGGACAGAGCCATGAACAGGACATTGGTCTTAACTTCACACATTTGGGGTTTGGTGGGGAGATTAAATACAGTTCATAAGGGGAAGCATGCAGAGGGAAGCCTGAGCCTCATTCCTGCCTGCAGTTCCAGGAGGATGGATTCCTGGTGCTGGAAGGATTCTTGTCTGTGGACGAGTGTGAGGCTATGAAACAAAGGATTGGTGAGATCGTGGCCGAGATGGATGTCCCTCCCCACTGCCGCATAGAATTTTCCACCCAACACGAGAAACAGCTTGGAGCCCAGGTGGGTGCATGGGGTAGGTGGGGATGGAATCTGGTCTTCGATGGGGGATCAGTCCCCAGCCAAATGAGCATCCGGGAAGGGAGGACCTAAGGCCATGGCTCCTCCTTTTAAAAGAATTTTTATATAATATGTATTTTTAGTTGTTGATGGACCTTTATTTTATTCATTTATTTTTATGTGGTGCTGAGAATTGAACCTAGTGCCTCACACTTGCTACGCAAGTGCTCCACCACTGAGCCACAACCCCAGACTCCATGGCTCCTTCTGATAACAGATCAGGTGCAGGCTCCCACATGCCAGGCTCCACTCCTTACTCCTGTCACTATGAATTTACAAGGTGGATATGGTTATTGTTTCCACTGGAAGGGAGGGAAAGTGAGGCTTCCATCATTTGTCCAAACCATAGTTAATAACTGGTAGAGCCAGGATTTGAAGTCAGCTGTCTGATACCAACTGGTGCTGTGCACTGCTCTATTGTACTTCCTCAGATTCTCCTGCCACAAAGGGCCTCCTTGTGGCCAGCATCCCAGAGAGAGCCCTGAGATTTTAAAGGGCTGCCTGTGTGTCTTATCCCTGCACCCAAACTCAGAACATGCTGTTTCCCAAGACTCAGCACAGTCTGAGACGGACAAGTGGTTCTCCCATCCAGTTATCTCAACCCTACATAGTCGGAGCCTTCCTGCAGGGCAGCTGAGCTCTGGTCCAGGCCACTCACACTCATACTAAGGAGCTCCTGCCATCTAGTGGCAACAGAGAAAACTACAGCAGCTAGAAGCCTTGCATCCCAGGAAAGCAAAGCCGCCAGAGACCTGCCATTCAAGGGTCCTGAGGAGAAAGAGGGCTGAAACTGGTACCCCAAATCTGCCTTGTGAGAATGCTCCAGAGGCCAGTAGATTATTGTGGCAGGAGGAATGCAAGAAGAAAGGGCCCAGATGATCCTTAACTTACAATGGTTCGACTTAGGATTTTAGATGTACATTCATTCAGTAGGAACAATACTTTGAGTTTTTAATTTTGATCTTTTCTAGGACTGATACCACGCGATATCATACTCTCTCCTGATGCTGGGTGGTTGCAGGGAGTCACAGCTCCCAGTCTGCCACCTGATCATGGGAAGCAAAGATACTGTGTTCACCATCTGTCTCCCATGCCAGACAACCATTCTGTTTTTCACTTTCAGCACAGTACTTGATAAATTAACAAGATGTTGAACACTTACACTAGTAAAATAGGTTTTGGACTGGATGGGTCTGCCCCACTGTGAACTAATGTATGTGTCCCATGAGGGGACTGGAGAAAGCTAGGATGTTCTGTGGGCTAGGTGTATTAAGTGCACTTCTAATGTTTTCAATTTATAGTGAGTGTATCTGGATGTAGCATCATTGTGAGTTAAGTGGAATCTAATAAGAGGTTTCTGAAAAATCAGATGCTTGTAGCTTTGAATTCTGCTTACAGGCACATGGGGCTCCTAGCCGCTGTCTGTGCCTCAGTGGACATGTCCAAGATGTCACTGGGGATCTGTAGCTCATGGGCATGGGAAGCCCCTGCTCTGACCCTGGGATGCTCTCTCTTTCTCTCCCATGTCCCTTTCCACAGGACAGCATAGACTATTTCTTGAGCAGTGGTGACAAGATTCGATTCTTCTTTGAGAAAGGTGTTTTGGACAATAAAGGTTTGGAGCTGGGTACCCAGAGATGTGGGAGCTCCCTGGGAGGTTGCTGGATCCAGGTGTCTGCCCTGCAGGGCTGGGAGGGCAGGGCGCTTAGGCCAGCTGCCTGAGGGAGGCTGCACTGCAGTTCTTTTGCTTTTACCTGTTCTCTGTGCCACAGGAAATATCTTGGTGCCTCCAGAGAAATCAGTCAACAAAATTGGTCATGGTGAGCAGAAACCTGGGAGTGCAGGACATAGATGGGAAATGGCCTGAAGAGCTGAGAAGCCATAGTCAAATCCGTACTGAGTTAAGGGTTGGGCAAGTCGCCTTTCTGGCTGCAGGCTACCCTTTGATAGTGGTCTTTGACGTTGTGTAATGCTAATCACATGGCACTTCTACCACCACACTGGGAAGAGGGGTCCACTTGAGTCCCCAACAGAGGGTATGTGCAGTCTTCTCCACAACCTTCTGTCCCAGGCATGGGGGATTCCTGGGACCTGTTGATTCCTGGAGCCTTCTTGAGGGGCAGCTGATATATTGAAATTACTCCTACTCTGAGACCCCAGAACCAAGGGTAGAAATTTTCACTTTTTTCCCTCAGGATCACGTTGTAATTATTTTTGTGGACTCCTTGTTTTTAAACCTGAAGTTATAGCATGGTGGCTTTGTAAACAAGTTGTGATAAAATTCATGTGACATAAAATTTGTCACCATAACTATTTAAAATATATTTTTAGTTGTAGGTAGACATGATACCTTTATTTTATTTTTTTATTTTTTAGTGGTACTGAGGATTGAACCTATGCCTCACACATGCTAGGAGAGGGCTCTAGCACTAAGCCACAAATCCAGCCTCCAATCACCATAACTATTTTAAAGTATTTCATTCAGTGGCATTGAGTGCATTCAAAACTTACTTTTTTGTAATAACAGCAGTTGGGCACAATGGCACATACCTGTAATCCTAGCGGCTTGAGAAACTAAGAGAGGAGAATCACGAGTTCAAAGCCAGCCTCAGCTAAAGTGAGGTGCTAAGCAACTCAGTGAGGCCATGTCTCTAAATAACATACAAAATAGGGCTGGGGGTGTGGTCCAGTGGGCGAGTGCCTGAGTTCAATCCCTGGTACCCCCCCACCCAAATAGCAAATAATCCCTGGCACACACCTGTAATCCCTGTGACTTGGGAGGCTGAGGCAGGAGGATTGCAAGTTGAGGCCAATATGAGCAATTCAGTGAGACCTTATTTCAGAAATAAAAAGGGCTGGGCATGTAGCTCAGTGGTAGAGCACCCCCAAGTTCAATCCTTAGTACTGCAGATAAAACAACAAAAACCACTAAGACCGCTGACGACTGTGCCTGCTGCCCATGTTCATTAGCTCCCCTAGAAGCCCTGGGAGGTGGGCAGCTCTTCTCCTCCTCACTTTACAGTGGAGGAGACCAAGACTTACAGAGGGAAATAGTAGTCACCTGAGATCACATAGAGGAAGTAGAAGTATTGAAGCTGCTGCCAACTAAGAGTCCCCTTGGAATCCTTCGTCCTCCCTGAGGAGTGGGAGTTAGGGCTGGAGTGAGGTTCCCAGATAGCCAGATGGTCCAAGATAAGGTCATGGTGGGATGGGGCTGGGTGGGATGAAGGTGTCTTTGGGGCCCATTACTTGGTTATAAAAAGCATAAAGTTTAAAGCACCTAAAATAGTTGAAAGTGTCAAAGTGAAGCCTGAGTCCAGTTCTCAGGGTGGGAGGGACACATGGGGGCTGAGACTGGCCCATCAGCAGGCCTCTGTCCCACAGCTCTGCACGCCCATGACCCTGTCTTCAGGAGTGTCACACATTCCCCCAAGGTGCAGGTGAGCAGAGGTGGGGACGGGCAAGTGGGGACAGATAGGGGTGTATGTGGGCAGGCTGCACTGTGACTCTGCCCCCTTCCAGGCCTTGGCCAGAAGTCTGGGCCTCCAGATGCCTGTGGTGGTGCAGAGCATGTACATCTTTAAGGTGAGCGATGTGTCCTTCCCAGGCCTCAGTTTACTTGACCCTTTGTAAAACTGGCAGGCTGCTCATAGGAAGCCCCTCCCCATAGTGGGCCAAAGCTGCTGGGTTATCAGTGTTGAGTTGGCCAGAGCACATGTGAAGTGGGTACCTGGTACTGAGTTTGTGCTCTATTAGAATTAGGTGGTATGAAGAAAAGGGATCCCCAAGAGTCCCTCCTGCCCTCTTTGACTACTGAGATGCTCTGCTCTCAGCTCCCAAGTACAGTGCCACCTCCTCTAAAAAGCCTTCTAGCTCCCTGAGGAAAAGAGGGACCCAGCTCTGACTTGGGGGCTAACCTCTGAGCCAACCCCTGGCCAAATGCTGCCCTTTCCTGGTTCTGCTTCATGACCTCGTTGTTAGGCTAGTGCTCGCTGTCTCCCAGGCAGCCTGTGCACCCCCTGCTGGGCAGGTGGCTTTCCTTCTGCTTCCCTCCTGGGCCTGGCTCACAGTAGGGGCTCACTAGCTGGTACCCAGGGTGGGAGCATCCTATAAGACTCAGATCAAGCCCTGCTCCTCCCTGTTCTCATCCGTTCTCACCAGACTCTTCCCCTATCTTGCAGCAACCTCACTTTGGTGGTGAAGGTAAGCTGTGAGCAGCTGTGGGGCCCAGCAGCGACCATGGGCAGGAAGTCTGGAATATCATGGTGGTCAGGTCTTTGCAGGAAGGGAAAGTACTTACTGCATTACCTGTGGGCACGAAGCTCAGGCCAGGGGAGGAGGAGCCACCTTCCTTTCCTTCCCAGAACAGGGGATTGGTGGGGAACCCTGGAGCCCCTGGCACACAGATTTCTAAATCTGACAGCAACCCTTAGCAGGTTAAAAATATAGATTACTAACACAGATGGTTTTCAGACAGTGTGAAATAAAGGAAATCAAATACACACACACACACACGCACACACACATGCACACACTCACTCACTCACTACTGTCAGGCATGGTGGCACTTGCTTGTAATCCCAGTGACTCTGGAGGCTGAGGTGGAAGGATTGCTTGAGCCCAGAAACTCAGGGCTGCCCTGGGCAACACAGCAAAACTGTCTCTTTAAACAACAACAACAACAGGATGCTTGGTCATAGGTATCCCCTCTCCAACCCCAACTTTCCAAACTTACACCACTGGGTGGGCTATCTGGTGGCTGGAGTCTGCTCATCTCTGGTAAAGAATGGTGGCTTTAGGGCCAGGGTGTAGCTCAGTGGTCTTTACCACTTGCCTAGCCGAGGCAAGACCCTGAATTCCATCCCCAGCACAGAAAAAAAAAAAAGAAAAAAGAAAGAAAGGAAGAAAGAAAGACAGACAAGGGTGGATTTAGTCACCTGGCTGGAATTCAATGGTAGCAGCTACTTTTTAGCAATTAGTGTGTGCAGCCCTGTCCTAAGCACTTTTCATACACTGTCCTGTGGAACCCTCCAGCAGCCCTTTCAGGGAGGTTATTGTTGGGGCCACTTTACAGTTGAAGAAATGAAAGCTTTAAGAGGTAAAATCTCTGCTCAGAGTCCCTGGGTCAAGAAGTGGAAGATTCTCAGAACAGGAAGTCTGGGAGGATGGTGGAGTGGGAAGAGGGTCAAGATGAGGTGGGATAGAGCAAAGGGTTAGGCTCTTCAGCTCCAGGCGGGTCTGTCGCAGTCTCCCCTCACCAGGACACCTGGTTCCTGTACACGGAGCCCCTGGGCCGGATGCTGGGCCTGTGGATGGCGCTGGAGGATGCCACGCTGGAGAATGGCTGCCTTTGGTTCATCCCTGGCTCCCACACCAGTGAGAACCCCTGGCTCCCCACCCCAACCCCCAGGGAGAGGGATCAGGTGAACAGAGGGTCTAGAGGCTCCATCTTGGCCTGCAGGCGGAGTGTCAAGAAGGATGATCCGGGCCCCTGCTGGCTCATGGCCTGCTACCAGCTTCCTCGGGGCAGAGCCAGACTGGGATAACAGCCTCTTTGTGCCCACACCAGTGCAGAAAGGTAGGCGGGACACCCAGGGTCTGTGCGTGCTCCACCACCCAGCATCTGGGAGGCTCTTTTGGTGTCACCTGAGGACTGGGAAGTCACAGAATGGGAGCAGGTAGGGCTGACAGGTTACTTGGAAGTCAGGAAGCAGCACGATCACAGCAAGTTCAAGCAGGCCAGGCTAGAGTCCAGACTCTGCTTCTCAGTCTGTTTCTTTGGGTAAATGATGGATTCACTCTGAGCCTCAGTTTCCCCAAATGTAAAGTGGGATGCATCTAGAATGTTTATAAAGAATTTAGGTGACACACAGCAAGGTCTTCACAGATGTTGGTTAATCGTGACCCCTCTTCCTTATGGAAAGGGACACTGAGGTACACCCCAGCATCATCAGGAGGTCCCTGTTGAGTGGCACAGTGCAGAGGGCTTCTGGCCACATCTGGGGTGGAGAGGCCCTTTGTAAGGCTTGCCAAGTCACAG